CGCAAAATGTTACGATATCTTTCAAACTAACTACGTCACGTATGTCTAATGTGTTTAGTTGGAAAAGTTAGCGCTCAAGTATTATCTAGTTGATCTAGGCTAAGTTGGACAACGCCTTAAAGACGTTATACGCTTGGCCAATTTGATGAATATTAAGGGGCGCGTATTGAGTTAGAATCTGCAGTTGTAGTCATAGATAGCAAATTGGGAAAGTTGTAGTACTGCCGACGCTGCCAGAACGCGTTTGTGTCTTGTTGTATTATCTTAGAAACTTTCTGACGTCTTATAAGTTTCCAACTTTTGTTATACGTATTTTGTATATACGTATGCAGACTTGTGTCGCGAGAATTCCGTCATGACAGGTTGTTATTGAATACGTGTATAAGAACACAAGGATTTATTTATGTTTTATCAACATATGTACGCATAATGTAGAGACTTAGCGAGTATAAGAAAAAAAAATTCGTCAATCTAGAAAAATATAATCCTATTAAATATGTTCTTTTTCACAATTTATAATGAAAAGAAATAATAAAAACTATTATTGTTGTAAAGAATAATATACATGTATAAATAACAGTATAAAAACTTTAGAAAGAGATAGGTATAATTTTCTGTTTATTATTACAATTGGAAGAAAGATAGTAGATATAAAACAGAATTCACGAAGAGAAACGTAACATAAAATATAATTTTCATCTTGCGGAAATGTTTATTGTTTACATTAGAAGGGAAATATTCAGCCGACATTTAATCAGAGTATTTCAAGCGAGCAATGGTAGTTCATGCCGTAAAACTCTTGAGACGGATCGTACACACTTGATGCATTCTTTCTGCTAAAGTTAGGGTAAACAAACTTAAAATACTAAAAGAGAAATGCGAAGAGCAGATAATTGCAACAAACCACCAAGTGTATTCCATATGCTTCATTTAATTTTATTGGATTACATTTATTTGTGTGTGCACCAGTATCTATATAAATATGCATTCATATATATATGTATAACTATATAGCATTTTAAAATATTAAATTGACTAGTTACTATTTATACATATCATAATGTATATGCACTCCGAAAGAGAGAATCGGGTGTTCGTTATATTTAATCTAATTAATTTGTGTTTTCGAGCATAATCAATGTATTTCATATTTTACCTATAATAATTATGAGCAATATTATGAGCTGTCTATATACGCTTTACAAGTACAATCTCTTCGTTATATCGATATCCGAGTTCTATGAAGCATCGTTGAAAGCATAAATACATGTAACGACCATTCTGCACGCAAATTGTAGAACAAGCCTATACATGTTTTCCTTGATTTACTCAGGTGGCATAACTAATGTTATTCGATCATAATATGTATATATTTCAATAGAGAGGTTATCCGAATTAAACACGAATATGTACTAAACTATTCAATTAATATTGATATTTTTATCCATTAATGATTCAAATGAACAGACAATAATCGATACCTTATATGCATTCTTAAATTTACTATACACTTAATATAACTTGATGAAAAACGTTATGTTTATTATGGGATTTACCTATCATATATTTTTAACACACACCGTATTCCACAATGTTTATATATTACCTACATGGAAGGGGAAGGGAGAAAGAAAAATAAGAGATATGTTATTCTCAATATTCACGTAATAGAGTGTGCTATCGCACGATGAGAAGATATGAACAGGAATATAACGAAGACACGTAGAAAGCATGCCGCAATATATCATGCATAACAAGTGACTAGTCCGACTCTATGCCATGCACGAGTTGTCTAAGGGATGTTATTGCGTCAGACGCAATCACAATCATATTTCTTAACTTTGACGAAAGAGAAATACGGGTCTATATTTTTTTCTCTTTATTGATAGCTATTCTTTTTAGTCACATTCTCAAACAGTTTCTTTCTATTTGTATAATTGTATAAATAAACATAAGCCACATATATACACTCAGTCTTACAATAAAAGATAGGAGAAATCAGTTATATAGGCTTAAGATTATATGTATAATCAGTTGACAGGTCGTCTTTTCTCATTTAGCTCCTAAAATTCGTTCAACGTGACAATCTAAATAGAGATATTATGAAAATGTCAGGTCAGACGTTCACTCAAACATTATGTGAGCTCTTCTAACTACATACGGATAATCCGCACAGGTGGGTGGGTTATTCCGCGAATATAATAAACATGTCGCTTTGCAGTACGTGCTGCGAAATTTAACGAAGACAGCAGATTCAACGAACAGAGGTATTGAATACCGTGTGCATTGAGCATTACAAAGCACATTCTTTGATTAATTATCATGGCAACATATTTGCTGATTCAACTTTATGAAACCCGCTTCCCCCGATGTATTTGTAAGACTTATGCTAACAGTAAGTATTTCCTGCAGTAACATAATACACATAATTTCTTGTACGTGTAAACATTTAAATTTAAAATTGTGAATATATATTATTGTTTTCATAAGTCTTCTTTTATACTTATAAAGTTTCTTAAATGATTTTAGTAATAGAAAATATGCATCGACGTCTTTGTTGAAGTCTTACAAAAAAACAGTTAAATTATTTTATACTATATATTATGTGCGCGTACTATATACTATATATATTATATATTACATATAATATTATTTTTACACATACCTGCAACGACTGTTGTAGGCATTAATCGTCCTCCGCTTTAAGGATTCCCTTAAACGAAAATTACAGTATACTTTATTTACCCTCCTTTCGTAAAAAACCGGGCTGTAAATGCTCAAGCCATTTCACGTTAACTCTAGCTGATAATTCGAAGGTAACGTCAAGATAAATTATCGAGGTAAAACAGAATTAATAGTTATTGCGCAAAGATACACAGTAATTAATATAAGTAACGAATACACTGCAAAAGAAAAGGATGGGGAAAGCAAAGGAAGTATTTGCAATATGTGAAACAGGTTTGGTAATCTCGTTTATTAAAATTAATATTAAGATTGGTACAAGTTCGCGAAAGTAATGGCATTGCACGATCTTATATTTCTGCAAGTTCTACTTCAAGTGTTGGTCGAAATGATAATTTCTTTGCAGCGGAAAATTTAGATATTATTAAATTAAGATTTAAGGAGATATAAGATGAAAGGATAAGAGACGATTACATTAACGTGATCAAAGAGATAGTTTCAAATCTGATGTACATTATCAGATTTATTTTCTATTAGACACACAGAGATTTTAAATAAAAAAATGCAAATTTTTTATAATGAACAATTAACAGACTGATCAATAACCTTAACATTACTATGTGGATATTAAGGATTAATAAGCAAAAAGAGCATAAATAGTAATATGTATATAATAAAAAATAACATAATATTTTATATTATAATCTGTGTGATACGATTAAAACGATTTAATATTAATAATAATATTAATTTCACATTATAAAACAATAATTAACAAATTAATATATTACTAATTATTATATGATAGATAACCGTCGCGCTTTATGTTGTAAAAACATTTATCGGCATGATTTAATCGTATGAAGTCACACCGGGGCATCACCATTATCATTAGTCATGTTGTTTACTCTAGATCCTCGGGAAACGCTGACAGCGTAGAGATGTTTTCTTCCGCCCAACCTAGAATTGACTTCGAGCTGGTTGAGAACGCGAGCTTATCGAGTAATTCCATATGTCCTGGAGGCAGGTTATCACGACAAACACGTCTGCTTCTACGCACGGAGGCTGTTCTCCGCGCACGAGACTCGATGCATCGGAATGATGTCGGCGCTCCGTTTACATTCTACGATCGAGGAATACGGTTCGGCGAAACAGCAAAGGCGCAAAGCTAACGCGATAGCAGTTGGCGGAATTAACGTATTCGCATTACGCGAAGCTCACCGCGGCTATATGAATGCTAATTAGCGGAAGATGTACTGCTTATGGTGCTGCTTCTGGTAAGGTGCTGTCTTCTAAGACTAGCGTGATAGATATTACATTCGCAGTCGACCTTTGTTTCGCAGTAGTACAAGTCATTTACAGGTGCGGCGTTATAATTCTTGGAATCCGCGGTAACGCAAGTGTATGTGTATGTAACATTCGCGCTGCTTCTTTATGTAAAAAATATATTTACCCTACACTGAGCGTAGAGCACGGGCGATTGAATGAAGGATTACGATCGTTTATTCATGATCAACCGTATCTCTGCTCCCTGAGAATACTTGAGTAGATTCGCATCTGCGCAAAAGCATACTATGTTTCTTTCTCTGCGTTAGGGGAAAAAGCGTACAACGTGCGTCTACGTATTTTTCTATAAAAATATAAAATAAAAATATCTTGAACGACTGGAGAGGAAAAGTTTGAAAAGTGAAAGTAATAATGAAAAATATGACGCAGCAGCGAATAACAGCAAGCGCCTGCGCGGATATAAACATCATCAGGTCGTGTTATGCAAAATGTCATAGGAAAAAATAGTTAGTTGTTCCGCTAACATATGAGTTCTGCGTGCGTGGTTTCGCACCCATTAGCTAACGGTAATGATCCGACAGAAATAGTTCCGCACATCTACTTTGTCGAGCGACAAACTGTAATGGTGACGCAGGCCGAGTAATTTAATATAGCGTATAATTCAGACGAAATCGCGGGGCCCTGAAACCTGTTACCGCGTCTGGTTAAAGCAGCCGTGAAAACGGATCTACGAGCAGCTATAATAGCCGCTGGCAAGTTTTCGGCTGTGTTAGGATAATGTTCGAATCACCGTTGGTCCTAATGAGTAATTAGTCTACCGACAGATTTGCCCAATTTTAAGACTTTCATCGTAGCTGTATTTTAAGATAATGGGCAGCAAGCTCCTCGAAACTATCTTTACCCCTACTACAAATAACAATGTAATCTTACATTGAGGATGCGGTAGAATCTCTTCAAAAGACATCAGGATCAAGCTTTATCTAATATCATAAATATCGTTAATCGCGAATTTAATTACATAAAAATAAAATAATGTATTATTATATTTTAAATAGCTCAAAAAATGTGAAGCACACGATGAAAATCAATATTTCGATAATCTATAATTGAGTTAATTAAATAACTGTCGATAGAATATAGATTTAATTACACACAAATAAAGTAAGAGGTAATTATATTATATAATGACATTATAGCTTAATTCAAAAATGTGGAACGTACTGGAAATCAATATATGCTATAAAAATTCCTATCGATGTCTGTCGACAATAATAGCGGCGCATTAATATGATTATGTAAATTTTGAAAAATCGCAAGAAACAGAAAACAACTTATATATGCTATGATTTATCGCCCCAGGTGATGCTTTTATTAATTAATTATAATGATAATAGATAACAAATTGTTAATATAAATAAATACTGTTACAATTCAATTAATGACACATGGGATATATGATTTCCCATCACACTTTGCCGACAATGTTTTTCATCTAATTATTTTAAAATTGTTATTTTTTTCTTGGAAATACATATAAGGGAAATGATGTAATGAGACACAACTAGATTTTAAAGGAAACATGACATAAAACTTTTTATATTCAAAAACATAACGGCGCGTTTTATTAGGTTGTACAATAACTAGCATACATTACGAACGTAATCGTGCAATGTTAGATATATCATTTCAAACCGTATCAATTACTTCTTAAAGAAATTTACGTATTCACAATATTTTTATTTTCACGATCTTTTTATAGCCAATTAAAAAATATATATATGTATATGTAAGTACTATAATATACTTAATGAACATTGTCATTATATACATACATATAGCGCTACTAAATCGATATCGTCTAAGCGCAAGGTAATTTCCCGTGAAGAAACAAGCGCGCAATTAGTCCCTAAATAGGCAATGTAGACTTTAAACTTAAAATACGTAACTAGGAAGCACACATTCGCCAAATTTAATCATAGTTTTAGCAGTCTATTTGCCACACGTTACTTACCTTATTTTACTTTATCTGATAATAATCCATGCGATCTGCAACGATAAAAATATGCATATAAATTCCTAGAAAAATGTCATATTTATTTTTTACCGCGAAAGCATCTAACGAGGTAGTTTAATGTTGTTAGTGCCGCTTTCGCAAGACAATGTAATTTCAGTACCCATTTAATGTGTATCCTGAATTAAGACAAATATTCGCCTTCGTGTTCTATGCGTCCTGCGTCCTTTTCTTTCACATGTAGATACGTATGCACCTTGAGGTTTCATCAGCAGTTACAACGTACTAGCAACAGTATATCGGCGCCGCTGCGGCAGGCGATACAAGACGCATAGTCACGAATGAAGCAAGTAGAGAAGAAGATAGAGAGAGAGAGAGAGAGAAGACAAGATGAGATGAAGCGAGAGGGAAGCGAAGAGACGACATGAGAGAACGCGCAGAGACAGAGAAGGAGACGAAGAGAGGAAGGAGGGAATATGAAGCGCGTAGTGGATGAATACGAGAGACGAGAGAGAGATAGATAGAGAGAAAAAGAGGGAGAGACTACCGGTACGGTGAGTGAAAATAGAATAAGAGAAGAGCAGGTAACGGGGAGGACGAGACCCCCTCCGGTGAGGGTCGCAGGGAGAGGAGAGTTTCCTCCTTTTCAACCCCCGTGTTGCCGCGTACCGCGCAGAGCGGCGCGTAGGTATACGTACACACTAGGCGTCTATATTTTATATCCGGTGTACCCGAGTTGTCGCTAGGGCGCAGACTCGAGCCAATCGGGGTCGGCCGGCTCGCCAGTTACTTTTCGCGATCCACCGTGGCCGCTCTT